TTCTTACATTGATATTTTCTAAAAATGTAGATTTTGAAACTCCAAACAAAATGTTTTTTTTTGTTTTGGTACGCAATAAAACCAATGCCAAATTTTGTTTTTCTATACTTTATAGATACTATTAATTCAAAAAAAATCTTCTCTCGACGATTATTTTACTCAGAATAACTGATAATTGCTCATTATTATTATTGCACACACGGTGTGCAACCCGTCTTTTAGCCTCGGAAAGCAATGGCACACACGGTGTGCAATCGGTCTCGAATGGGTTAATGGCTTCAATCCAAAACTACTCCCTTTGTCTATCTATATGTGTGTGTGTATTGACAAAATAACAAGGGACAAAATAAAATTGCATTCAATTTCGTACTTGGCTTTCCTCTTTGTTTGTTGTTCAACCAAAAAAGAACATTTTGTCCTATTACCAAATTGACAAAGAAAAAAGTACCAAAAATACAGACTCAAATGAAATAAAAGGATGAGACATCAATGTCAAGAAAAAATCGATCATCTGTAAGCTTTTATGATTGGTCCAAGACCTCCCTCTATCTCTCTGTCTGTCTGTCTGTCTCTCTCTCTCTCTCTCACCCTTACCCTCCTCCCACCTTTATCCTACCTTTATCATTGGCTTTTGGAATGATGATCAAATATTCTACAAATCTAATAAATCTTCTTTTATCGATCAACTTTATGTTCGTTCTCATAATCTCATAAAAAAAAAAATGTATTCTAATAAGAATTCATCAATATTTCTATGTTTTTTGTTTGTTTGTTTTTTATTCCTTTTTTTTTATTACATTACATGACTAATTTGTAATTGTTCATTGAATATAAATACAAAATAAAAAATAAATAATGAATAATATTTTCTACAATTTGAAATCTAATTACGTGTCACGTTGTTTGTTCCCAATAGACTCCTAAACTACTGAACTGATTTGAATAAAATTGTGCACCCTGTGTGCAATTTCATTCAACTTGAAAGATAGGATAGTTTATATCTCTATTTATAATTCGCAATTGACTTAAAGACGTGTGTATCGGACTGATTGTGAGCGGGGCACTCCTAGTTTTGTAATAAAAAAGAATTGGATACGTTTTTATTTCCATCAGTTTAATATGCAAATGGTTTTTAGTTGTGAAGAAAGGAAAAGATTGGAAACAATTTTCTTTTTTTCTTTTCTTTTCTCATCATCATCATCAATCGGATGTTACCTTGAAATCTGGCAAACATTTACTTGCTATTAAATTGGCTCTCTTTTAAAAAAGCAAAAGAAATAGAAAAAAGCGCGCGAGAGAGAGAGAGAGAGAATTGAGAGAAGAGGTTTGGCAACGATTTCAGTCATTTACATCGTGGCTTGAAATCAACAGCAATATAGTCTACATTTTTAGTGGTCATTAATTTAAGGAGACGAATATTTGATAAATAAATGTATGAGAGTGAACTGAGCAAATGTTTTGTTTTGTTTTTCTTTTTTTTTGCTTGGAAAAAAGAGAAAGAAAATGAGTTGACAAACACTCGCGTATTTTTGTGAAAATTATCGTCCAATTTATCGATGTTACTCGTGTTTAGTTGTACTCATACTTGTCTTACAATTTTACTCGTATATAAAGAGTAAAATATATATATAGGGTGGTACAATTGTAAAGGGGGTAATTCTACATGAAAAAATAAATCGAAGATATAGAATTAGAATGGTTCGTTTGAGGCTTTGTTTTCGAGAATATCAACTTTGAATTTTCACGCAGTACGCGTCTACTTGATCTGAAAAGTTCGTAGGTTATTTCCGAAAAGTCCGTTATTACTAAGATACTTATCACAAACCATAGGGTTGTGTCATGGTTGCGTCAGGGTCTCTCTTTAAGGGTTAAAAATATCATAGACGACGGTCGTAAGTGAAAAGAAGTATCAAAGCAAGGGAAGTAAGGGCATCTTGTAAAGTAACTTCTCCAAGGTGGTAGATACAAGTTACAGGAAGTTAGTGCCAAGCTTCGTGGCTAGCCCAAGTGCTTTTGCAAAAGTCCCTCCCCCCCTTTCCCCCTTAACCCCTAACCTCAATCCTCCCCCTATTTCGTTTCATAGTCTTCTTCATCGTCATGATGTTCGTCGTAGTTGTGTTAAAGTTTTCCCCGTGGTTTTCAGTTGAATGTAATAGTAAGTGTGTCACGTACGTGTTCACGTGGATTTCTAAAAAGAATTCTACCATTTCTACCGTAAAAAAAAAAAAAAAAAAGAGAGAAAAGAATTTGTCATACGACGAATCTCAACGACGAATAAACAAATCTTTGTAAAAAAAAAAAAAAAATTCCTTTGTTCATATTTTTTTCTTTTTTTTTTTTTCATTAACAAGAATTTCTCAAGAGATGTTTATTGTTAAAACAATTGAAAAGATATATCGGTGTGTAAAATGAAGAATTTATTTCTACAATTATTTATATTATTTATATTATTTATATTATTTTTCAAACGTCAAAAATATTTCGACACAAAAATTTGTCCACTTTTATATAATAATTTAATTATATTTATTGAAAGATCATATTACGCACACATGTGGTCAAACATTTTAATAGGAAAAACGATTGATTTATTTTTTTTTCTTGTTGTTGTTGTTTTTTTTTTGTTTTTTTTTTTTTTTTTTTTTACTTTACGTCAAAATTTCAACAAGTTTTATCGTTCTACGTGGTCAAAATTTATTCGCTATCAATCCTAGTATGACCAGAGACAGAGATGGGTTTTCATAGTTTTAACTTCCTCGTTTTATTTTGTTTGTTTGTTTGTTTTGTTTTGTTTTTAAACCATATCGTCAAACACTATAAATCAAAATCTGTGGGAAAATTGATATGTATTATTAAAACGTAGGTGTGAAAAGTAGAAAAGTATCATCATCTAATACCACAAACTATGATGTTTATCGTTCGTTTATCCATGAAAAATTTGTTATCAAACGTGAATTTTTATTATTTCTCATGCGACATCATTTACCATCAATTCAAATTTGACGAATTTTTTTTTTTTTTTTTCAATGCAAAACAAAACGAAAGAAGATTAACGTAAACACTCGATATTTTTGTTCTAATGTTAAATGTGTCTGCGTGTGTGTGTGTAAATTTTGGAAATAAATCTCATCCACGTATTATAATCTTTGATTTCCCATATATTTCATTGATTTAATCAAAGAGTTTAAAAACAACATTTGAAGGATAAAAAAATCATGAATTGTTTCTTCCCCTTTCAATAAACAAAATATCTGAGAAATGTTTTTATTGATTGAATTTAATTTTCTTCTTTTTTTTTTTTCGTGTAACATCAACAATTTAGGTACTTTCGTATGGAAGAGGAGAATATTTTAGACACAAGAGAGAGAGAGAGAGAGAGAGAGAAAATAATTCAAGATCGTTAATACCGTATTTCAAAGCTTTAAAGCCGGTTGGCCAACCAGCAAACTAACTCAACCGACTTTATCGTTGAATATGTAATGATCTTAGTTGGTATTTGGGTTCTTGTTAGATCGATTTGCCATTTTACTTTTGTTACCTGAAATTCAAGATTATTCTCTAGAGTCTTCTCGAGAGTTTATATATGTAATTATAACTTTTACCTCTGCTTGCACGAAGAAAATTAATTTACTTAAATTTATCCGATTGTGAAAATGAATCGTTATTTGAATCTATGTATTATATATATATATATATAATACATAGTTGTAGCTTTGTTATATCGTGCTTTCGATAAATATGTTACTACTCATATTGCATGCTTCTGNTATATATATATATATATATATATATGAGAAAATTTAATCGATATCTTTAAATCATCTAAGATAAGTAAAGTTATCTATTACAAAGTCTTTAAATTTGTAATTTCCAATGTAAAAAAAAAATACAAAAATTATAAAAGAAATTTTACTAATAGTGTTAAAATGCAAAGAGTTAAAAAGAACAACAAAAATAAATGTCATCTATAAATTATTAAAATTAATGAAAATAAACAAAACAAAATACACAAACTATCATAAAATCACTCACAAATGTAAAACGTTTGAATATTTCCAAATAAAATAATAAAATATAATAAAAATGATATATTATTAATAATATTCATTTCATTCGCTCACAAATATAATAAATTTCAATATTTCCATTCGAGTCTAATCAAAATGGGAAAACAACAACAACAACAATCTTTGTCATAAACAAATACTATAAATTGTAAATAACATTTCGTTACAGTCCAGTATCATAAATTATTATTAATACGATAATACTATAATTCATTTTGTGCTGTTTTTTTTTTTTTTTTTTTTATAATAATTAATTAAAACAAAGACTTACCAGTCTGAACGAGTTTGAGAGCGTTGGCATTGTGTTGTTTAAGTGAATCGTTGAGATTCGGCTGAGTAAGATCCTTCAAAGGATTATTAGCAATACTTGTGGTAGTGATAGCTGCAGCAGCAGCAGCGGCGGCTTCATCGCCAATAATATTTCGATTGTTTAACATATTTCGGCCTTTTTTTCGAGACACTTGTCTCGAATGTTGATCACGAAGAATTATGTTATTATCTTGATCGTTATCTTTATCGTAATCGTCACGTACCTTATGATCCCTTCTTCGTTTGGTTTTATTACGTAATTGTTTATCCTTATTACTTTTATTATTATTAATATTAATATTATTATTATTATTATTATTACTAGTATTATTATAACTATTATTATTAATAATTATATCAATATTATTTTTATTATTATTATTATTATCGTTTTTACGTTCTATCTTATCTCGAACTTGAATTATCTTCGTTCGATTCTCGTAACATTCATCTTTCGTAGTTTCAAGTTTGACGACAGGAAGTGAATTACGATTAATAGGATTTACTTCTTCCCGATGATGATGATGATGGTGATGATAATAATTACCGGAACTTGATGAAACACTTTGATAATTATAATTAGCGTTCAATGTCAATGACTCGTAAGATTCCCGAAATGGATTTTCATATAATCGAAGAAGTTCCTCGAGCGGAAAAATGACGAACATTCCAAGAAAACGTAATTGAACGCTTTAAACGCAATGTTATTTTTTTCGCAATCAATTTCACCGTTGATATTTTTCCCGTATAATTTGATTTGGTCGTTGATACGATTTTTTTGCAATTTAAATTCGTCCTGTAAGACAAACTTTTGAATTTTCTCGATGATACGTCGATTATTGTCCTTGTTGATAATATCTTTGATAACAATTTGTCTCTTGTTATTATTAATAACGATATTTTTATTAACGACAATGCTGTTGTTGTTTTTTTCGATCTGGCCAAAGCCAACATTTCGAAGCAACGAATCATCCTTGACGATACCCTTCCGATCGGTTGTCCAACGATTTTCCACGAACAACCGCATGTTTTTATTCGATCACACTTTTAAATCATTCCCGTTAGTTTTTTATTATTTTATTTTATTTTATTTTATTTTTTTTTTTTTCTTTTTTCATCATTCGATCTTCCGTATTATCAATTGATATTTTTTCATCTGTAATCAAACAAAAATAAATTATAATTTATATTTTATTTTATAATAACATTTCGTTATTATGAAATAACATTTAAGGACATGAAATTCATATAAGTACTTTATATATAAATATATATATTATTGTATAAATAATCAAATTTGTATTTGATTATTTCTGTATTTGTATTTCGTATATTTGTTCAAACCAAAAATATACATCTTGAAAGTTGTTTTATAAAATATCACACAAAATAACAATAAAAAGCTTCAAAGGTTTTTAACACAAATGTCCTTTTTTAAAATATAGAATATCTATCAAATGTTTAAATATACAATAAACATTTTCAACGATACATTGTACGTGAAATTATTTCAAGATAATTGTAAAAAAAATTCACCGAGTATAACATTTCATATATATTAAACGTTATATTAATTTATATTAAATAATGTTAATGTGAATATTAAACAAACCGAATAGAAATTTGTTCAACGATTTAAACAAATTCTTCCAATTTTTTTCGATTACAAATATTCGAAATATCGTTGTATGTATCTATGTATGTATGTATGTATGTGTGTGTAAAGAATGCATTTAAAACGATGATCGAAATAATATAATAATTGATTAAATTGGTAATACTTAATTGAATAAATTTAATTGAAAAAAGAGAGAGAGAAAGAGAGAGAGAGATCGATAATTTAATTCAGAAAGAGAGAGAGAGAGATAAACTGTAATGCGATTACATTTAATTTAGAAATATTTATCGTTAAATACCACATTTCCATTGAAACATGAATTATTTTATATGATATCCGTTTACCCAAATTGTTTTATAAATAAATTATAATATATTTCGTTGCATGTTGTTGTGTTTCCTTTATTGCGCAAAATCAATGAAATATTTTTTATTTTATTTTTATAAATTCATCTTAAATACTTCAAAAAAGGATACATTATATAATATATCTTTATATATATAATACTACTGTGCGTGTGTATGTCACTGAACTCCTCCTAAACGGTTGGACCGATTTTCATGAAATTTTGTGTGTGTCTTCAAATGGATTTGAGAATGATTTTCTGAAAGCTATTCGTTTATTTTGTTCTAATGTTACGACACTTACAACAGTAAACGTAGCTAATATGTACATGTGTTTGCTTTTTATCAGACGAAGAACCATATGTGTATGATACTTGAAATGATCGATCGAATTTTCCATTTTGCTTTTATAAAATAAATTCTAATCTTTCATTTTATCTCATTTTATCTATAGTAAAAAAAAAAAAAAAACAAGAGCAAGAAAAAAAAGCCCCCCAAGTTGGATATAAATTGGAAACCACATTAATATTTCCCTCTTTTCGAGAATAATCATTCCAATTACGTTAATTAATTGATTTACGAATAATAATTAATTATTGTATAATAAATATTAATTAGTATATTAATTAATAATTAATTATGAATATTTTTATTTATTTTTTTAACACACACGTATTTATTTTGTATTAAAGATAAACAATTACTGTTAGTTGCATTAAATCAAATGAAATATGTGCCCGTAATTATGAAAGTTGGTCTACTAATTGTAAGTCAAAATTAAAAAGAAATGAGTTTATCAGTTTAATAATTAATTAAATAATTACATTAAATAAATTCAATGTAATTTGAAAACGATATTGTCAAAAATGAATCGTCAGATAATTTTTGTTTTTTTTTTTCAATATTGAATAGAATTCATATAATGTTCAAATATAAATCTTGAAATATCTCGAAACAAGAGATACATGACTTAGACCACTTTCATAATTATGGGGATACATATATCGAACAAAAAAATAAAAGAACATTTTAACAATATATGCAATTACTTGTTTTTTTTTTGTTGGTTAATTCATGTAAATTGGATTGAAACTCGAAGGTTTGATAATTAATCAAAATATACATGCACGATACGTATACTAATAAACTTGGTTATTATTAACATACATGACAAACATGCTCTGATTACATAAAAGGTATAGTATCTATCTATCTATCTATCTATCTATCTATCTATCTCTTTTATTCTTTGTATATAACACACTCTCACTATAATAGTTTGTTTTAATCCCAAGTAAATATCTTGAATAAAGTGCGAGTAAAACCTTGGCTAACATGCAACCACGGAAATCGTTAACGTCAACGAATAAGATTAAGTAATTGCTTGATACTATGCTATCATAGTTAAACCAATGGAAATTAATAAATTTATGTCCAACTAATCACTTTTATTCCCTATTTTTTTTTTTTTTGTATAAATAGAAAAACAAAACGTTGCATATTTTTTTCTTACACGCTACGAAATATTTGCATTAATTCAAAACGAATAGGTACGTAACTTTAATAAAAAAAAAAAAAAAAAAA